ATTGCAATGGTGAGGAAAAAACAAAAAAACAAAATGGGAAAATCTGCAAGGAAAGTAAGTCAGCAGGGATCATAGATATACAACCTAAACTGGGCAGGACAATATCAAAAGATTACAAAAGCATCCGATACAAGCATGTTATAAATGAAATCTTCCACTCCAAGGATAGTTCTTCAATCTGAAAGAACCTAGAATTTTTTCCCCAAAGATCGCCAGAATAAATGTCTACATATTTAAAAAGCAAATTTTTATTTGACGTCTTTGACTCAGTAACTGGACACATGTTTCCTCTCCTGCCAGAGAAATCCTTTTAACAAATCCTTGTCTCTACAGTAACATGGCAGTACTGTTTGAAAGTATTTGACATGGACTGCGTTTCGGTCCCAAATTGATACATCATTACCACATTAAAACATTTGCATAAATTCACTCACACTTGGCCCCTTACTCTGCTATTGACACTCCGTTGTGGGAGCATTTTTCTTCCACATCTCATTTTATGACGGAGACAAGCTGCAAAGAGATGGACGGTATTTATCAGTTTTCAAACACACAATCGCTTGTACGGGCTGGGCATTATGTTGACAAACGGCCGGCCTCGGTGGCGGTAAATCCGCTAGATGACCTGTTTATTTGGACGTGCAGAGCGTGTGTCTTGGGCTCCCTGGTCCGATCTGTGAATGTGCTACGGAGCCTGACACGATGGACGTCACAGCCAAGATGAGCAACTGTAGCTTCCAAACAAACGAGAGATTTTAGCAAAAGCGAGAGCGCTCAGCTATCGAAACAGGATAAACCAAGCAGCGACCGGGAACAGGTTAGGAGTTATTTTATTACTTAGCAGTTTGTACAGGTTCTAGCATGGAAAAATAACATGTAACATAAGACTGTATTTACAATTCCTTTTTTACAAAATGTCTTTGCAAGATTTTTTTTTTTTTTTCGATATTTTTTTTTTTAGCAATTTTAAAAATCAGAGACTACAACCCATAAAATCCAAACACATTCACACACAACAAAAAAAAGCAAACATTGTAATACACACACATAAATAAATATAAACATTCACTGACTGCTCCAAGACAAATATTTCTACAGCCAAGAACATGTACAATTCATCTCCACACGTTATAATTTCATTAATAAACGTGACATATTACTTCCAATATAATTATTTGTTAATCTGTTAATGAAATATTGCTAACATACTGAAAAGAGGTAACACAGAGACGTTATTTCATGCCAACGGGATGCTTACAGTTGTCATGCAAAAAAAAAAAAAAAAAAAAAAAAAAAACATTACGAGCTTTCAATTTGAAGCAAGTAATTCATTTACAGTTCAAAAATCAAATGGACTACATGCAACATACTACATGAAATATTCCGGGTTAGACGATAAGGACTTTAGTTACATTATCCATCAGTACAGACTGCATGTCTAAGCGCCTCTTTGTTGGGTAAGCACAAAATAAATAGATTAAGTTCTACTTTTTTTTCTTTCTTCAAGAATAAGCAAATGCTCTGGCATCGCCGTACCATCCAGTAGGTTGCTTTCAACCACATGTTTATCAAATCCAATCAAAGGTCTTTTTTGTTGTGCACGACGACAGTGGGATCAAAAACTAATTTCTGAGTTATTGGATCTTTTTTGACCAGAAATTTCATCACTTGCTTTTAAGTCTGGGATGAGCCGAGATAAGCGGGGTTGGGGGGTTGGGGGGGGGGGGTGGGACGGTGCTCTAAGCAGCACAGAATATGAAACCTTGA